ACCAATAACAACAGTTCTTTTCAGAACTATCTACGTGGTGTACCGCAAGCATTAATTATATATATATATAAGCCCTACAACAAATATAAAAACATCGACTAGGTACATATTCACTTTCATGAGTGATCATTAATTTTCCCCCAAAAACATAGAATATGAAATAGCTGGAGTGTTGTCCGAGTACTTCTAGAAATTATTGTGTATAGTCAACTGCTCTCTATGGTATTCCTGAGATTTTTTAATCTATAGATATTACATGAATATCTGCTTTATTTAGATAAACCATATTCCAATCCTCAAGGTGTGGCCGGGATAATCTCGGAATCTTACCAGTACATTCCCATCCTCCTAGGATCTAGGTGTTGCATACGTTGCTTTTTACACAAAAATCAGTCTACCACTTTCAAAGGAAACGCTCATTAAGTTCAAGAATTTCACAAAATTTCTTAAAAGACTCTAGAGATTTTTTCATATTAAAAAATGGTTGTTTAATTAAGTACTGCCAAAGTAAGACCCTTTGAAAATAGTTTGAAACTGTCTGGGAGTGGTTTCATGAATCTAGACTTGCACATCCTTATTTATATTTGCCAAGTAGGGGCCTATTATTTGATCTAAAATTTAACGAAGTCTAACAGTGCTATGTCAGGCTAAATCCCTGAATTTTCGTCTCACCCCGGCTGGTTGGGCTGATGTGGGTGTTCTCACCCCTCTCTATTTCCTCCCACCACAAAACACTTATTTGATGTAATTAAAAATTGAACGAAATAATGTCAATTAATGTGAATGTATATAGAAACAATCTAAAAATTGACCGTTTCTTTTCTTAGCCTGGTGCCCACCCCAATATGCGGCCGACGCACCCCAGTTCAATTGGGACGATGTTTCTGACACGGCTGATGAGGGAGCCGAACCGAAAGACGCTAACTTCGTTGCTGTTGCTGGCTATGAGGCAGTTGCTTTTGATGATGGTAGGTTAACGAATTTACATTATTTTCCAATTAGATCAAGGAATTATGATCTTTTATGACATTTTCGACTTCGACTAGGCCTCCTCTGTTCAACCACTGTGTTTTCTATTTTATCAAACATACAGTACGTTCCATATCGAGGATATAGGCAGGCCTATTTGTAATTAAATAGGCCCTACTCTAATATTATTTTATTCGTAATTTTGTATCATCATATTGATAATGATTTATATATTTCTAGTTCCTGTCGCACCTCCTACTTATGAGCCATCGCCACCTGAACACAGACCGGAAGAAAAGTTTGAAAGGTATTATGGAGTTTAACGGTGACAAAGTTTACATACTTTTATTGATCGCATGATAGTAAAAACTTCATGGTACCATGATTTCAAATTTGATTGTGATGATTTTTTTCAGTACTGGTTCAATTGATGAAGCTGCTGTTCGAAGTGCGATGCAAGATTTTGTGGGTGGACATTGTTGTTACGGATATAAGCCGGCGAACGAAATGGAATTTAAGACAATTACACCTTCTAGTGCATTTCATGTAAGTTAGGCATCAATTACAAGATACTCGACTATATTATTCAATAAGAAAACTAGAAACATTGTTAAAATTCAATTCTACTTCATTTTTGGATGAATAACATTCCATATTGCCATTGATTTATAGTACCACATCGAAACTTTCACTGAGGCACGCACAACAAAACGGGTGTTCCTACCATTCTATGGTGGCATTTTAGACGGACCTCAGATGGGTACAGCACCTTTACCATGGGCTTTACCATGCAAACCAGACGCATTATTCATGGATCAAATAAAAATGATGGAAATTCCACACACTTCTGAAATTCAGGTTGGTTATCGTAATTTGGAATTTATTTAAAGTAATGGGAATTTGTTTCCGTATCATCATCATCATCATCATCTGGTCGAGCTTTCTCGGACTTACTTCAATAACTCTGGCAAGCCATCCATAACGATCTGTCATTGCAGCCGGTGGTCATCTTGGAGGAATCCACAGTCTGCCGTATAGACCTAATTACTATAATATTATTATAATAGAAAACTTAGTTTAGCCGTTTAGTAAACACAGGTTGGAGACAACACTTTACAGACTAACAAACTGTATTAAAAATATCCAAAGCTTCCATGGTGAAGTTCACGGCGTGCGGTTTGGCTGTAAAATACAGTCATCACGCAGGGCGGATTTAGAGGTGGGCCGGGTCGGCCGGCACCCCCCCCCACCCCCGCCTAAAAAAGAAAGAAAAAAGAAAGAAAGTAAATAATTGATTGCCTAAAACGCCTCAGAGGTTATTTTTGGGCGTCCGTAAAACAAATAATTCGCGAAGGCATGCACCCGGACTCCCTAGTGTAGTGTTGTCTCGATCAGCCCACTTTCGCCCCCAGCCCTGTTCGGACATCTCTGGATCCGCCTCTGATCACATATTGATCTTATATATATTTATTTTGCAAGGGTCAAGGATATACCCATGCTTTTGCAGGCTCTGTACTTGAACTATATGCCATTTGTTGATTGAACATCGTTGATGTTTTCAACGTAAAATTGTTATGTTTCAGGCTTGCTATAACTGTTACGCAAGAGGGTTCATTCGATGCAAACGTTGCGTAGGAAAAGGAAAGGTAAACAAATACATTTCATTCAATCTTGAGGCCAGGCCTACAGGAGTCCTAGTGAGTCTTGTGACTTTTCTGAATTGTGTTTTTCACATTATCCGCGCTCAATCTCGAAATACACTTAATTCTCCGATTAGTACGTCCTACTATTAGAGCCTATCAATTGCTATGATTTTCTTGTGTTCTCGCTTCACTTGAACATTTGCGTGCCTTTTCAGAAGTTTATATATATTTTATATATAAAATAGATACTTTGTCCTAACTGCAAAGGTGCTGGAACGAAACGAGTGCACCATGATGGTCAAATGGTGAACAGGTGTTGCGCTGTTTGCAAAGGGAGTGGCAGACCCAAGTAAGTGTGAACACTATGCTAGAAATTCATACTAAATATTTCCAAATTAATTATTAATAAACTATGTATCATTTGCTAGACAATTATCGTCATATCATAGGCCTAATAACAATAGGCCTAATAACAATAGGCCTAATAATAATTATTTTGTTAATTTATGGAACCTATAGTGTTTTTAGGTCACGAAGCACATTGCCCTCCACTCATTTGAGATATTATTCAAACATCATCATCAGCATCATCTTCATCACCACCATTCTCACTACCACCTTCATCATTATCTTCATCACCATTACCATTATCAACATCATCATCATCAAAAATGTAGGCCTATCATAAAAAACATCACAAAATTATATACAGTGTTTTTGTATTTAACATGCCGTGTAACCAAATTTCGGCCTACTTTCTTCTTTACAGTTGTGATATGTGTAATGGTCACGCATGCGTCGCATGTCCTGTCTGCAAAGGATATAAATTATTGCGATATTTCATTAAGCTTTTCATAACATAGTAAGTAAAACCGGATTTTATCAGCTTTATTGTTAAAATATATGAAAAACTTAACAATTAACATCCATCATTGTCAATTTGTGTCAGATCGACAAAAGCATTATAAATATGCCCGTTTTGTTCAAAATATAAAATATTTGTTAATATAGTAATTGTTGTTGGACACTGGTACTGACATAAAATCACAACTAAATGATATAGGGCCTATCTCGTGTTCCATTTCAGCACAAATCACAAGACTGACTACGTTCACGAAAATACAGGTCTACCCGACAATCTTATAAAAAATGTCAACGGCAAATTACTGTTCGAACAGTCTGCACATCAGGTAAGTAACTATGAACTTATGCTGTTACCAGGCGATTAAGTGAAATGTCAACAGCAAATCACTCTCGAGCAATCTGCACAGTTATACTGTGGTACCAGCGTTTTGCTCACTTGAATAACTGCATTAGGTGTTTTTTTGGTATTCAGGTGTGGCCGGTTTCAACATTTCCCGTACCTGAAGTTAATAGTAACTCTGCTAGAATTGTGGATTTGCATCGGAGCGCCTGGCCAAATAAGAGAATTCTCCAGCAGGTAATTTTATTTTATTACTATCATTTATACATAAATGTCCATGAATTTGGTGACAGCAATACTCTTACCGAAAATAGATACGGTAACGATAAATAATAATAAAATCAGTTTAAAATTAAAATAATTATAATATACTGTGCCATGATGTCTTGTGATTTTATTAAGAAAAGCATTTGATAAGAACTAATTTGATGATCAACTAAAAAATAACCACCTTATAAAAATAACACTTTAGCCGTGCTCAATATTCATTTTTTAAATGATTTATAAATTTCAGCGTCACAACCTACGCTCGATTCCAGTGAGTGAAGTGGATTACACATGGAAAAGTGTTCAATCTAAGTTCTGGGTGTATGGCTTTGAAAATCAAGTTCACTGTCCAAAGTATCCTCAGTCGTGCTGTTGGGGTTGCAACATTCTCTAAAAAACGATTTTTCTCTATAAATATTGCTTGGCTGCAACATTGTTTAAAATGTAAAGAGGTATTATTGATAAATATTCCTCGAGGCTGCAACATTTAAAGCGTGGTGAGGCTGTCACGAATTCTAAAGACTTTATTGAGGCTGCAACATTGTCACTGAAATTAAATTGTTGGGGCTACGACATTCCAAGAGGTTTTACAGGATCCGCAACAAAGCCCTTGATGAGCATCGCAATATGGGCTCCCGGCTGAAATGTTATAAATGACTGTAATGTTCTGTAGGAGGATTGTCAGGGGTTCATGCTGGGGATGTTTTAAAGTCCACTAGTTTGATAGACCTGCTAGATTATATAAGGCTTTTCTGGGATTCTAAATATTTTTTTTTTAACATAAAGTATTATAACAGAATAAATACGGAAATATCACTAATAAATATCACTAGCAAATTTATTATTTTACATTTGTAACTTATAAAAATCATCATCATAACATAAATATTTTTGGTAAATACTCTAAACAGTAAACAATTTTAACATGTTTTTTTTTTTTTTTGCTTTTTTCAAAGCGGCAACAAAAATACAAAAATCTTTTTCAATGGATTTAAATTATCATGTGACAGGTAATGGTAATAATTAAATCTATCCGAGTTACTGAATTAATTTATTAATTATGTACATAACTATAAAGTGATACTGTTTGTGGTAAAAACTGAAAAAAACATACAATTTAGTTAATATCCACAGGAAAACAGTGCACTTTTGTTTGCTCATTTACAGCCTTTTTACTATGGAAACCCATACGTTATTTACTAGCCAATTTAAGGATAGGCCTACTTTGAAACACATAATATAGGAATGGCATATTAATTAATCTGTTAATTGCACTATTAACAGTTAAGTGATTACAGTATCGAATTTTATTTTTCAAATATATTAGTAAACAAAGAGATTATATCACTTGCATAAAATATAAATGTAAACTTGTAATTAGTATCTATCTCTTTTTAACCTTTATTAAACTCATTTTATTTCCACAAACAAAGATACAAAAGTGAAATAATACAAAGTGAACATTGAAAGGTGAAAAGACCTTGAATACAATCAAAATACTGAATCCTCATTTAGTTAATATCCACAGGAAAACAGTGCACTTTTGTTTGCTCATTTACAGCCTTTTTACTATGGAAACCCATACGTTATTTACTAGCCAATTTAAGGATAGGCCTACTTTGAAACACATAATATAGGAATGGCATATTAATTAATCTGTTAATTGCACTATTAACAGTTAAGTGATTACAGTATCGAATTTTATTTTTCAAATATATTAGTAAACACAGAGATTATATCACTTGCATAAAATATAAATGTAAACTTGTAATTAGTATCTATCTCTTTTTAACCTTTATTAAACTCATTTTATTTCCACAAACAAAGATACAAAAGTGAAATAATACAAAGTGAACATTGAAAGGTGAAAAGACCTTGAAAATTACATTGTAGATAAAAGTGGAAAAGGGGCAGCCCAGGTAAAATAGATAATAAAATAAAATATCTTTCTCTTGTTATATCTCAGCTAAGGTCCCACTGCTCGGATTCTAGAAATGGGTCGTCAGCTTCCAAGAAATCCTCATGGTAACCATGGGAACCATCATAGTAGTCATGGTAATCATCATGGTAATCATTATTGTAGTCATTATGCCAATCAGTCATGAAACCACTATAGTTACTCGCTGCTAAGTCTTCATTATCATCAGCACTATCACCACCTTCATCATCTGTGTACATACCACCTGTTAGAGATAAATGAGAAGATAAAAATGATCAAACTTGTTAATATGGTTTTCATAAAAGCATTTACTGACAAGTTAGTTTTAAGAGAACATCTTCTCTCTTGATTTACAAACAATATCCAATATGGACACAATGCAAGGCATATAGTTTATAAATTATGTACAAGGCCTTAGTTAAAATATAACATAAAAGAATAAATCTTTTTAACTGAACTTACTTGTTATATTATACTTACTTGGATGAATAATAATATTCATAAGTGTAAGATATTAGTTAAGTTACAATAAGAAGTGCTTTTCCTGCTAAATTTATGTATACAGTTTCCATCATAATTAATATATTGAATTTTAATTGTACTGCATTTGTTTGGTAACTCTGTTTCAAGTCCTTTGGGGTATATATATATAATCAATTGATGGCAGAAACAGTGCTCAAATATAGGAACATTGATGTGAAGATCATACTGAGCATAGCCTATACACATGATGAGTAATTTGAATAGTGTGGTTTATCTTATTATTGTTATGTTATTATTAAGACTTTGAGAAAGTTGTAAGCACCTCACCTAATACTATGCTGTCATCACTTTGCCAAATAAACCGTTCCACTACGGTAGAGCAGGTGGATATTTGAATGCCGTCATGTGTTGAGGGCAAAGTCTTCAAGAAATCTACATCCACTCCAGTTCCTTTAAGTTATTAAAAAAGAAAATAAAATGAAGTATTTTCGAGCGAGGGATTTACCAGTCTATTTCATTGTAATGGTAAATACATTAGAGGTTACCAAAAAATAAGCGTGACAATCGGTATAAAATGTGGAAGATGTACATTGGCATTTATCAGTTCATAAAGATCAGTCCACACTACCAAATTGTGTTATACAAATTTGTGTGATGTGCCCATATCTGTATGATATTGTATTACATCCAAATATGGGCATATCACATCTTTTTGTCACATGACATTCGATAGTGTGGACATAGTTCTACATAGACAATTAAATTGAATCACAGACACCCATAAACTTGTCTCTAGCAAAAGTTTTAGAAAACCTCTCCTGGTGTACTGCCTAATCACCACCAGAACGATCCCACTGGAAATATGTCTTCTTCTAGACTTTTGTGTGCTATCCTTGGTGTTTACACCGAATAAATCCAATCCAATCCAAAAATTTTACACAAAAGAATTTGAAAATTAAGACTAACCTCCAATATTCAATCTCAATGGGTTGTTGGTGGTGAGTTCTTCAGAATGAATGTCCACAAGCACTTTAATAGAGGCTTCAGTAATACTGAGGCATCCAGAGACATCAATAAACTCCAGGTCAAAACAAGCTGACCCTATTGCTATCAAATCTGAAAGATATCATGTTAAAGGTTATAAAAGCTATAGAAGTCAACTTGGAGAGGTCTAAAGCTCAGTCAGAAAACTGGAGGTAGACGATGTGTGTGCTTTGAACCGTGGGCATATCTAGGTCCCCAGTTAAATTCCCATCACTGCTCCCTTGTGTTATAACTGGAGGGTTGAAATGCAAGTTACAATAGCGCACCATCTTTCGGATGAGATGTTTAAGCTGTTGGTACCATGTGCATTATGGCCCAAGTGAATGCAATAATGGAAATAACTCTTCTTCACCTTGCTGTTTACACCAAATAAATCCATCCATCCACCCTAATCTGGGTGTATAATGACGATAATGATCCTAGAGGCAGCAGACTGAATAATTAATACAATAAACATGAGGTCATTTTTTAATTTCAGAGCAGATGACACACCTTCATCACTGAGCTGATGACAACCTTTTATGCTGAATTTCTTCAAATTTGTAAGTGCAGTTAACGATGTAAATCCAACCACACTGATCTGTAGTGAATGAAATAAACAGTAAAAATATGCTGAGACACTGGAGTGTATTGGGAATACAAGTGAAAGTTCTTAATGACTAATGCAGAATAGTATCAAGAAAAAATATATTTATTGACTGTAGTCTAATAAAGTACCGATAGTGAAGAAAAACTTTGGTTTTTGAGGTAAAACCATTGGTTGATTGTCTCTTGACATTTTGGTGAGATTGCTCCGACTGAGAAACTATGACTTCTGTTAGTCTTAAATAGAGAATGGTGATAGTCAATGATCCATTGTTTTTTCGTAATAATAAAGTAGGTGTAAAGAGTGATTGGTTGAAGTGCAACAATTAACTAGTGACCTGACCTCAAACACCATATTTTGCAAAAGGTGCACAAAAAGTTTTATTCATTTATTAAAGAAAACCTTTCATATACAAATGATGAAATTATGTGCTAAATACTGAAATGATGCTCACATTATTCTGTAACAACTTAGACAAGTTAGTTAAAATTACACTGCTAATCCATGATTTAATACTGATATACAGAGAACCAACTTGGCAATCTGATGTTCTAATCATTTTTTTTACTCTTTCATTTTACTTCAATACATTTCTGTCAGCAGAAATTTTAAAAAGTAGAACAATTTTAAAAGTCAAGGTAATGGTAGGTAAAGGTATGAGAATAACCTATAACTTGCAGCGTTATTGTGCTGAATTGTGTATTTGTGAATATTTAGCAGCCGTAAAGAGCCGCTTCATGGTAGATACATGTTCACATCATTCCACAATTATAGGGGCTGACGCACAGGTCCATGTTGCAGTAGATATTCTTAGTACTGTACAAAAGGTAGAAAAAAGCTGTGCTTTTGCAATAATGTTGCTAATAATGAAGTCACCTGGCTTATATAACTGATATTTAGGTATAACATACCTGGCTTATATAACTGATATTTAGTTCTTCAATATTTCTGCAATAAGTTGAAATTGCACTTATACCAGTGTCACTCACAGCTTCTACAGAACCTTCAATGTTTAAACATCTACAAAAAGGAAATAATATTTGCTATCATATGGTATATTACTTCATTTAAATTCAATTCATTATTCAGGCACAAGCATATGGGCAGCCATTCTGCAAACAATGTTACTGGAAACGTCTNNNNGATTCATGTGCTTGTGGCGTCAAGCTGTCTCTTATACACATCTATGTACTGTATGCTATGTCTCAAAACAAAATATTGGGACTTCGGTTCACTATTGGTTTAGGTATGTTTGTTACACCATGTTATTGATGATTACAACTTATAAAGAGGAATGATGGTGATGATAGTGGTGATAGCAGGCGCAGATCCATAGGGGGAACAGGGGGTACACGCCTCCACGTTTTGCCACTAAATGTTATAATTTCCGTCCATATCAAAGTTGTACTGAAATTAGCACTCCTTACTTATCTATTCTGAAAATGTTGTGGACAACAGAGAAAGCAACAATGCTATTATTTTGTTGACGAGAATTATTGATTTAGCTTCATTTGCATCGTCTTCTGAACCTCTGTTTAAAAAACTAAATATATTAAAAATTATGGATCTAAACAAATTACAAGTTACTTCTTTTATGTTTCAATACACAAAAGGTCAACTCCCAACCTCTATATTAGCTTTATTTCATGATTATAAACCTACACACAGTTATTATTTAAAAATTAAAACTCACTTTACTAAAAGCCAATTTTTTACTTCTGTATACGGACCAAAATTATGGAATGATAATCATGTTAAGTTTAACAATAATAATAACCCATACTTTTAGAAAGCAAATGAAGAAATATTATTTAGAAATGTACCAATCTTAAGTTCATCGTACTATTTTAGTATGTATACCCTGTGTCCCTGTGTGTATTATATGTTTGTGTGTGTGTTTGTGTATATGTATGTTTGTTTATGTAAAGGTATGATTATGTATATATATATATATATATATATATATACTAAATATGCATTTATTATTATTGATTTTTTTACTTTTGTCTTGTCGGGGTCAAATTGAGACAAGCTTTACTTCTATTTTTTATCCTAATTAATTAATTTTAATGTTGTCCACTTTATTTATCAATTTATGTATTTTGATTAAGTAATTGAATAAATGTTAATTAAATTGAAAATTGAATTGATTGAATTGACGATAAAGATGCTGATGACAATACAAATGGTAGTGAAGATAATGATGAAGACGGCGGCGGCCACAGAGAGAGCCATAATGCTGTATATTTTGTTGACAATAAAGATAATAACGATAATGATGATACAAATGGTAGTGAAGATAATGATGAAAACGGTAGTGGCCACGAGGACAACAGAGAAAGCAACAATGTTGTTTATTTTGTTGACGATATAAATGACAATAGTGGTGATGATGATGATGCTGTTAATGGTGATATAGTAATGGTGATATACTTATAATTGCCATGTAAAGTTAGGTATGATGATGATGATGATAATAATAATGATATGATTATGATGATGATAATAATGATGGTGTACATTAGTTTCACCAACCTCAACCTTGGATTGCTTCTACAGACAGTTAAGATTGTAGCATCAGTAACTGATGAATTGTTGACAATTGCCAATACTTCCAAGCTATTCAGACCAGAGAAACTTAAATTTCCTTGGCTAACTTTTACAAACGAAAATATAAAAATAATTACCTGCAATAATTTAAAAACCAAATACAGTAGAACCCCTCATTTACGTACGGGACGGGCACAGGGGCGTTCGTAAAAATCATTCGTACATAAAATCGGGGTTGTGTGAAATTCCTATGTATTTACACTACCGATATGCTATGCGGAGCTAGGCTAGGCCTGGACTGAAATTTTGTTGGATTGGAGCCGAAACTCCAACTTGCGCTCGAAAGAAATTCAAAATAACGATCATAATAATGTACAGTACTATACATACTTGTTGTGTATACAAACTTTATTCTCTCTTACAAAGAAGCACAGCCCCGCAGGCGCCGCAACAGGGCGAGTAACGCAACAATGTTTTTCACTCGATTCATGTGCTTGTGGCGTCAAGTTACCTGTACATAATAACCTGGAAACCAGGGCAGGGGTTCATAACTTTTTAAAAGAGAGCGCACCTGATTGGCTGTAGACACGGCGCTTGGACTTTTTTTTGTATGCAGTACGATTGTTCTACGCCTACATTAACATTTATGTAATGAATAATAAAGTTAAAAAGAAAATGTTGGTGTCAGTGTCTATATTTTATGGAGGAAATAATGAAATGGTAAATTATTCATTAAATTACGATATGAGTGTGGTGTATTCAGAGATGAATAAATCATGCTGCTATCGATATGCCGACAACTTATGCATTGGGCGGAGTTTTCTCACGGCTGCAGACATGAAGTATGATCGACGTGTTGAATTTTGTTGTATTCAAAGCGCACTATTAGAGTTTTGTATTGTAGTAGAGATCGCTGATAGTGTACAGCAAACCGTCTAAGACCGAGTGAATAAACTCCAGCACGCGCCTAACGATTAATTCTTGACACGCCTGTGTTTTGTAGGAATAGGAACTTTATTTATGACCACAATGAAATGATTTTATGTTCGTAAAATCGGGAATTCTTAAAATCAAGGTTAATAAATGAGGGGTTCTACTGTAATACAAAATAATTGTTACAGACTAGAAGCAGCTAATATGTATGTAAAACAGCAAATTTTTGGAGAACTTACTTTTAGGGTAAACTCCCTTCAGGTCCAAATGTTTTAAATGCCTTAATCCCTGGAATTAATAGATAAAACAATTAATGTGTATAAATATAAACACATACAAACATGAATAAACAAATTTTACAAAAAAATACAATCAACAATAATTACAACAAACTGCCTATTAAAAAAATTAAATAAGTTTTCAACTTCTCATTCGGTCAAGATTGAAAGAATTAAGTTTTTTCTTATTCACAGACATTTTATTATGAAAGCAAATTAAGTATCATTTATGACTAATAATTAGAAAAAAAGTATTTTCATTCTAATTTTCAATTACAAGCTAATAACTTACTTATGCAAAGTATGTGAAATTTTAATTAGCTCAACAGCAAGAGTATACCTCTATTAAACTGACATGTTATTGTAAATAAGCAATGTCATGTAATGCTTTATGGCATACCTTGCTTAAAGATTCAACTGCAGTAGTTGTTATACAAACGCAGCCTCTGAGGTCCAGATGTTCTAATCTTGGACATCTGTTCACAAGATGTTTCACACCTTCGTCTGTCACACTGGCGCATTCTTCTAAAATAAGTACGCCAAGCGTTTCCGACAACATATAAAAACACTGCGAAATGTTTGAACAAATCAGCAATAAATTAAATATTACTTCTATTATATTATACTACCTAGACCTCAGGTGTTGATCTGGAAATTGTTTATTCTATATTGTGGCAGCGGTGGCGCTAGAAATTTGCCAACAAGGGGTCCGACATATCCGACGGAGAGGTCCAAACCAAAGGGCCGACTAGAGCCTCGGTCGACGGCCCGGAATAAAATTGATTTTTGTAAATAATATGCCCTCATTCCTTTCAATATTAAAGGATCTTGTTACATATATTTATTAGGCTATTGATAATTATCTCTTTATCAATCCAATCATTACTAAAAAGAGTTCAGAATGATTTACTGAATGCAAGAACTGAGGAAGGCCTGAGCTATATAGACCATTCTGATCTAGCATCTATTCTTAAAATGTAAATAAAAGAATGAATTAAATTTGAATGACATACTTGGCCAGAAATGCGGTGATTTGCAGTAACGTCTACAAACTCTAATAACTTGCAGTGATGGAAAAGCCACCATAAACTAATAAATTATGGAAAAAAAAATACAAGGTGATTAAGGGTACATTCATGAATATAAAAGTAGAGCATGCTTAGATTAACTTCAGATAAAACAGAACAATGATAACTCCAACAGGAACAGTTTTTAAATTAATCAAAATGATTGAGGCTCACTATGAGTTTATCCTTTTTTGGATTTATAATGTTTTTTATTTAGAGCCATACATTTTCAAACTCCTTTTGTTGCAAATATGGTTTTAGAATTAATGAGTGCAAAGTAAACAAATGAAATTATAATCAGAGAAAAAATACAAAACCTACCCTTTTTCACCAAATCCATTACAGTTCTTAAGCCTAATCCACTGAAAACAGAAATATAGGATCAATTTGTGGCACAAGCTTGAATAACCATTGTTTTCACATTTAAAAGAACATTTTTGATTGGCGTGTATTTCAATACTTGGAGTATGTATTATACTTTCTTATCTGAGATTAATCAGTGGACCTTTCGGTTTTTGATTGCTGGTATGTGCATTAACCTCCTTATTTCTACCAAATTGCACAAATAGAACTACAACATCATAAAGGTAAACAAGCTTCTTTTGTTTTTCCCAAAGAAGCATAAACTACTGGCGGGTTGTTGAAAGACACTGACTTCCTGGGTAGGACTGGTTATGAAAGATTGCCTATACTTACACAGGCACTTTTTTGTTTCTACGTAGTGATTTTGGATTTTTTAGAAAGAAAATAACACTTTTTTTGTTATGCATACATTTTACGATATATATTATTCATTAATTAAAAGTAAAAAAGTGAAACATTTTAAAATTAAGGGTTATGGATTAAATCACATGTAAGAAAAATGTTCATGTCTCTTTTCCCCCAGTTTTTAAATATTTAAAAATACGTATCTCATTAACATTTCCCAAGTTTTATATCAAAAACCCTTTAAGTTGTACAACATATCCAAAATATTTGTTCTTCTTGAGCCTGGTGCTGGAAGAGGTGACAATCAATCAATTTTATTTATTTTTTTTATATTTTTATTTTATTTGTCTTTAGTTACTAGATTTATTATTACACATAATTTGACCTTTATCACCTTACCTTTAGTTGCTTACATGATGAACTTAAGAACTTAAGGGATAACTTGGTTACTTTTACAGATGTTAGATCAAGCTTAACAAGCTTCTTACATCGTTGTCCTGTAAATTCAGAGAAATTCATTCATAAAGAGAAATGATTTAGTGCACAATTACAGATCCTATTTGTAATATATTGTTTTCATTATTGTATGAAGGAGAATTTGAAAATTGATATAATTATTAATAAAATTGTAAAAAAAAACCCACTTTTCCTTGTTCTAATTTTCAATTGAAAACTGATAATTTTAACACTTAATATACAAAGTAAAAAAATCAAAAATTGAATTACATATGTATTTTTTTCCTTTTTAAGGCTCAAAACAGAGATATTTATAACCAGTAATAGGATATTGATACATCAGACAACTTAAATGAAATACATAAACATTTGCCAGTTGACACTCAATAAATCCCTGTTCAGACTATCAAATTTTATGTGACAAGAACATGTGACATGCCTAAATGTGGTCATGGTGACATCAAGTCTTGACATCAGACAACTTAAATGAAATACATAAACATTTGCCAGTTGGCACTCAATAAATCCCTGTTCAGACTATCAAATTTTATGTGACAAGAACATGTGACATGCCTAAATGTGGTCATGGTGACATCAAGTCTTGACATCAGACAACTTAAATGAAATACATAAACATTTGCAGGTGGCACTCAATAAATCCCTGTTCAGACTATCAAATTTTATGTGACAAGAACATGTGACATGCCTAAATGTGGTCATGGTGACATCAAGTCTTGACATCAGACAACTTAAATGAAATACATAAACATTTGCCAGTTGACACTCAATAAATCCCTGTTCAGACTATCAAATTTTATGTGACAAGAACATGTGACATGCCTAAATGTGGCCATGGTGACATCAAGTCTTGACATCAGACAACTTAAATGAAATACATAAACATTTGCCAGTTGACACTCAATAAATCCCTGTTCAGACTATCAAATTTTATGTGACAAGAACATGTGACATGCCTAAATATGGTCATGGTGACATCAAGTCTTGACAATATATAAGCTCATCATGACTATATATGGGCATACAGCAGTTTTTTGCCAAAGAAAATTTGATAAGCTGGGCAGGGCTTTAACAATTGGAAGATACTTTTGCTGCCCTTGACTTTTTTTTCTTTTAAAAAATTAATTTATAATGCTAATGTACGTATATTGTATGTATACAGTATATAGATGTTTATAATGCTAATGTATGTATAACATATGTATACAGTATATTGATGTTCAAATCATTAATTTATAATGCTAATGTATGTATATCTATGTATACAGTATTGATGTTTATAATGCTAATGTATGTATATCGTATGTATACAGTATATTGATGTTCAAATCATTAATTTATAATGCTAAAGTATGTATATCATATGTATACAGTATATTGATGTTTATAATGCTAATGTATGTATATCGTATATATACAGTATATTGATGTTCAAATCATTAATTTATAATGCTAAAGTATGTATATCATATGTATACAGTATATTGATGTTTATAATGCTAATGTACGTATATCGTATTTATACAGTATATTGATGTTCAAATAAATATATAAAATACCACCTATCAGTTCAACAGCCCAATCCGTTAGCAGGTACGGTGAAGGGGACAAGTCAAGTTCTTTCAAATTCCAACATCCTTTCTTTAATAAAAGCCTAAAAATATTATCAGTCAGCACTATAATAGGAGAGAGAGAGAGAGATAGGGATAAGATAAATGAAACCAAATAGAGTTAACATAAAAGTGCTATAACAATGTACCTCTTCAAACTTACGTTACATAATAAAACTTCAACAAATGCAAGAAGGATCTTAACAATAACAAAAATCATTATAACTGAAGCTTACCAGGGGGTAAACATTACATCCCACACTGTACTTCAAATGAGCTAACATTAACCAGGTAAAGGCAATGGTATTCAATTACAAATAAATACAAATGGCTGGAATGTATGAATTTGCTAAAATCATATAGGATTAGAGAAAGTGTTGGTGATTTAAGCTTTGTTGACACTATCAAATTGTCTTTGACAAAAACCTGTTGTATGCCCATATAGTCATTACATGCCTAAATATGGTCATGATATGATGTCACATGTTTTGTCCAATAAGATTTGATAGTCTGGACAGGGCTTAGCTTACTGTTATTCATGAAACCACCGAACACTCCATTGATATCCAGTTTCTCTACAGCCTGCCAGCTTTGAAGTACCACACGTTGCCACCTTTTACACACTACAAGTAAAGTTATAATTGTGAATATCATCAAACAAGTCAAGACAAAAAAAGTAACAAATATGAATGTGAACAGGTGAGTTCTGTACTGTGCATACATACAATGACCTCCTGTCCCAAAGGTGTTCAAGTCATCACTGTGTAGTGCTCAGTACTACAAGCATATTAAAAACTGAGAATGACAAAACTATTCTATTGTGTGTCTCTCATTGTTCTTTCCATGAAAGATGGTATTTTTTTAACTTATTCTTTTATTGATCACATACGCTTATATTAATATTTTACAGTATTATGTTACTGTTGTAAATTGTCGTGTAAATAAACTGTATTAAGTCATTGTAAATATAAATGCGTAAAATAAAAGTGATAACAGTGTTGTGCTCAAGTACAAGGTACAGTGCTATATGATCATTGTAGTGCTAAGTTACTGTGGTAAAGTAAACAGATGCAATGAGTACATATAAACATACATACATTACCTCTTTCTACCTGCACCTTATCTTTCAAACAAAGAAAACTAAATATATACAATAGCACATCATTAGGTAGCAAATGGATTCCTTCTAAAACTGATTCCTCCACTTGGAGATCAACCTGGAAATGAGCATTATCAATTGATGATGTGGCACCAAACTCTTCTTCATTCTCTTTTCCATCATTTGATGAATCATCTTCCTGCAGACAATTTCATATAAATAAGTTCAATAAAAAAAAAAAACAAAACAAAAAAAAAAACACTTAAAACCAAGGATTACCACATAGTGACTTAATCACTGTCATATTAGTGGCAAACCTTCACATGACAAACACATGATGCTCTACATAAACTAAGTCTTATATAACAAGAATAGAAACTATTTGCAAACACCAATAAAACATGAACCTGATATTGATCTGCACCAATGTGTTCAAGTTGTCTTCTTTTTCTGTCAGCGGGGGAGACTCTCATCAACCTTTGGAATATAAGGAAATATTCATCACCTTTCATTTGCATTCAGTACTCTTTTAAAAAAAGGAAAATATTTTTTTGATATTTCTTCAAATTATTATAAAAAAAAACCAAATATTTTATTCTAGTTTATCAGCAACAAATCTTGAACATCATTTGGTACTACTGTAATTCCATTTTGTATATTATCATGTGTCTCTGGCTGCAGCAAGAATCACATTAATGTTTTAATAAAATTCAACAAATGAACAAACATACCTATTATCCAAAATGAGCTCATTTTCTGTTGCGGTTAAAGCATTTCTTCTTTCAGCTTCAGAACTAAAAGTTACAAAGCCAATCCTAGAATATTAAGAATATATGGAAATAACAAACATTCCCAAACTTTGCCTGTTAAACATTTAAGACTAATTGATTTGAAGATTTGAAGTTAGATGATAAAAACATTAATTATTTGATGATGAAAAGAACCATTTTACTTACCCTCTTGATCTGCGGTGATATTTTAAGTGATCCATAACAATATATGTTTTAGTTACTGTTCCAAATGTGCTGAAGAAATCCCACAACTCTCGTTTTGTTATCTGTAAAATATTTTTTTTATGGAAAGATGTGATAAGACTTGCAGATCTAAACATTTATTATTAATTTTCTTTATCTTACTTCTAGGTAAGCATTCTTGAAAATGATCAAATAGATAAAAATGTTGAATACTGTCTTCTTGTGTAATACTTTAAGATGAATAGTACAACAGCATTACTTTTCAATATATGTTTTCATTATCCAACAACCAAGTTACACATCATACCCGGTAACTAATGTTGCCAACAAATACAGTACAATCATTTTGACCGAGCAGCTTCTTTACTAAAGGTTTGTTATTATGCTGATTAATCAGATTTGAGTCTTCTGCTGATTTTGTAGATGAGGATTTAACTATTGTGTGAGGTCCACCATCATGGTTCAATTCTGGTGAAGAGTCACTCTCTTTAACATAGAGGCATTGGTAGATTTTCTCCTCATCTGTAGCATCAGTCACCTTCTTAACACCAAGTTGTTGGCAGATTTGATCAACATCTGTACCTTCACCACTATCAAGTTCTATGGATGCGTTTGCATTTGGTAGTAGGTTTCCCATGATTCATATCCACCTTCATCATTTTTCAGAAATGAAATTGAGCAGATATTGTAGGATCAGGGCTGCCAGACCTGAAGTGAGATAAATAAAACCTTAAGTTTAAGGAATTTAAAAAAAAAACAATCGTGTGGAAATAATGGCGTTTGTGATGGAAAAAATGCCCCACAAGAGACTCTTTTCTTTGATACATACATTTGATTCCTGTAGTGGAAAATAACACTGTAATTTCCATATTTTGGACGAATAAAGAGATGTCTTTGTCTATATGTAACACTCAGATAAACTTTGCATGCCAGCATCATTAAAAGTCAGCACAAGGAAAAATTGACCAGAAATACTCAATAATATTGGTACCACATATTTAGATGTTGTTGTATAGGCCTGTACAGTACCTTGCAAACAGTCACTTTCCAAAACAAATTCTAGGATTTTTTGCTTAGAAAGGGATAAAAAATAATCAAAATTTAACTTAGGCCAAAATTAATAATAATAAAAAAGAAGCAATTTAGAGGATAGGGCCTAAGGCATAATAATTAGAAAAAAAAAACAGTGACAGAAAAAACAGCGAAATATTTACAGGGAGGCCCATTTATCTAATTTAATTAAGCTTACTTTTAAGTTCCCATGCTAACCGAAAATGTTGCTACATGACCATGAGCGCACAGGTGACTGTGCCAATAGAAAACATTAATTATTGGTACTCCTCTGCCAAAAAATTAGGCCAAGAAATCTGCAATTTGGAAGAATGGCCAATTTGCTCACAAAATGTTGCCAAAAACTAAGCTGTGCCCATCTCTCAATACATAACCTACACCATGATATGTGTACCTAAGTTCTAAGCCCATATTCCTAGCAATTTTCAGTGCATAGTTTGAGCTTTTATTTATTTTATCCTCTGTGCAATGGAAAAATTAATTTTATAGGCCCACAGCACAAAGTTGCCTTTGCTGATAATCAATAGTCATTTCATAATTTTTTATGCTATTTGATGTTTTTCGTTCAGGGCATTTTCCCAGGGGTGGCGCCAGCAGGAAAGGGGGGGGGGTGGAGAGCTGTCCCACCCCCTACAATTTGTCGGGAGAAAAAAATGATGTATATGTACTATTTTCTATATATTTGTAAACCCCAAAATTGATTAAAGTCTTTGAAACTGGAGTATTGTCATATTTTTGGGGGCTTTGCCCCATGCAATACTCTCGAGAGATTTTGAGATGCCTGACCGCACCCACTTTTTTTCGTTTGGGACAGCGGGCAACTGTATTAGTCCTCTGATTCCCTGTTGGGCAAATGCTGGAACCAGCAGTGCGTTTTCCCTTACTTTGGACCTCGAGTCTGTGAAACCTGCACTTTTGCATCTGTTTTTTGTCTGATGTTTAGTGATGTTCTTTTTCTGATAATATATATATCTCGGTATCTTTTTTCATAAATTCAAAACAAATCAAAACAACAATATCAAATCCTAGCAGCCAGAGGCTGAATTGGGGATTCAATTTACAAAATAGAAAACCTGAATTAAATTTACAATAAGTCATTATCATTATAAAGATCAATTAAAATAGTCAATATTATTATTATTATTTTAATTAGTTACAATTGTTATTTAAAAATTTTGACATTAATTAATATGCACAAACATTAAAATTTCCGATTTAAAAAAAAAAAAAATAAATAAATCAAAAACACACTAATGAAACTTGAACTAATATTAAACCAAAACACCACCCGGGATGGGATCCGCCCCCGGAGCACAAGTCAACACTCTCGCAGAAAGGACACCTAGGAATGGATTAATTTATTTGATTAAGAAGTTTGGTGAGAAAGGGTATAGGGCTTTTTCTAAACCTTTCTGTTCTAGGAATAACAGTTTCGAATTTTCTGGGATTACGGAGACACATTGATGAGGTATTATTGGAGGGTTGGAACCAATGACGAAACCTGTGATTAATAACTGATTTCTGGGCAAACTTTCTGCAGATAGAGGACCTGCGGTCAGGGAGCGACTCCAGCCCGAGCGTTGCTAGGGCACTTTCGTATGAAACATACTCACGTGACAGAATAATGCGACATGCGCGCTTTTGGACCCTCTCAAGGCGACGGGTCTGTGCTCCAGATAATCCACAGTTCCAAACTGGTGTGGCATATTCGAGGGTTGGGCGAATATAACCAACGTAGATGGTTAAAAGTTCATTGGAAGTGAAACCTACCTCTCTCAATCGTGTAAGCATAAACATTTTTTTGTTAGCATTTCTTTCAATCTGATCGATATGACCATCCCATTTAAGATCGTCTTGAATCACCACCCCGAGGAGTTTTACTCTGTTAACAATTGGGAGTATGGTATGTGAGATGTGAAAATCTATGTCTGGTAATCTCCTACGACCAAAATACACATGCATGATCTGACACTTGGAGGGATTAAGATATAATTTATTTCTCACTGACCATTGCTGTAAAAGGTGCAGGCAAGATTGAATGGAACTTGGAGAACCAATTTTATTATTTTCTCCAAGTGTCAGATCATCAACATATTTCCAGACATGGATGTTCAGATCCTCAGCATTATATGGATTTAGGTTAAAAGCGGAATTGATAACACAAAGAAAGATAAGAGGGGCAAGTATAGTTTCTTGTGGAACACCACATGAGAGAGATTCCCATTCGGAGTAGTGATTCAACTATCTACATCGTTGTTTGCGATTAGAGATAAAGTCGACGACCCACTGCAAAATAGATGGAGATACGTTCATATTAAGGAGGCTACTAAATAACACTCGATGATCAATTACATCAAAAGCTTTGGTAAAATCAGTCAAAGCAAGTGTACTGACATTACTGTACCAGGTTTTTCTGCTTCCGATATTAGTTTATGGTACACATCTATCAAGCAGTGGGTCGTCGACACACCTTTTTGATTCCCATATTGCTGTGAATCAATAAATGGTTCAATTGCCTTAATTATTGATTTGGAAACTCTTTTTTCCACAAATTTTGCAAGTGTTGGGGTGAGAGAGATTGGCCTCACTTTTTCAATTGAGGGGGGTGTCTGTTTCGGGAGGGGGATGACGTTGGCCTCCTTCCACTGAGTTGGAACAACTCCATGTTCAAGGGATGCATTGATGATATGGGACACAGGAAGGCTAAGTTCAAATGCACATTCATTGATGATCTTCTGTGGAATATTGTCCGGACACCCTGCCTTTGAAACAGACACCCTCTTCAAATCGTCATAGATCTCCCAGGGGTGAGATTGGGGAGGAGGCACATGGCTTGGCAAGTAAGCAGGAAGAAAGTTAGTATTATTTGCTTGATGTTTTTGAGAATTTTTAGCGAGAAATTTATTTATGCAATTTGCAACAGCCAAGTGATTGCCAGTGTCGACTCCAGGCACATCAATTATCATGTTCTTTTTGGTACTGTTTGTTTAACTTTTGACTTGTTTGTGCCACTTTCCAGGGTCCACCCGTTTTAAATAACGAACTTTGTTTTTGATCTCATTAATTTTGGCTTTCCTAATTTCTCTTATGATAAGGTTACGAATTTTCTTTCTCTTGGTATCGTCTCCCTTTTCATATGCTAATTGCCTTTCGTAAAAAAGATCCCTAATATGGCCTGTCATCCATGACTTATCATTACAGTGGATCTTAATTATTTTAAATGAGAAATATACTTGGATTGCATCATTCATAATTTTGTAGAACGTATCGGCTTTTAATTGAATGGCAACTGCATCAAAAATATCGGACCAGATCTGGGTTTGTGTCCAACGCCCAAACTCATTGAGCTTGGAATCCGTAATGGGTTGGATAGTTTTAGCAACCATTCTGTTAATAAGGATTCTCACCTTTGGTTGCAATGATACAGTATAACACAATAGTCACTGCGACCAATAGCGGGTAAATATTGTGGCCCAAGATACAATTCAAACATGTTGGTAAAAACAAGGTCAAGTATAACTTGTTCTCTTGTAGGGGAATTAATGATCTGCTTTAAACCAGTGCCTAAAAGTACTGACCTAGTGTCCATGCGGTTAAAATCACCAATAATGATGAGTCCAGCTTGTTTCTTATGATTATTAATAAAGTCAATGCTACCTGTAAGATGATCAATATACAAATCGCGGATTGGCGAGTCTGGTGGTATATATACAGCTGCTACGATCAAGTACGGGACAGCTCGCGGAAATTTCGGATGAGATAACATAATCCATAAGACTTTCAAGTCAGCTGGAACGACGATGTCTTTCATAACTTCGGCCTTAATGTTATCCTTAACATAGATTATGACACCTCCGCCTCGTTTGTGCTGTCTACACATATTGAATGAGTTAAAAGAGTTAACATTATACAATTCAGGTGCCGTTTGTGGGGTTATCCACGATTCCGTTATAACAGCTATGTCGATATTGTAATTATTAAGAAGCAAATCCAGTTCATTAAATTTGTTTAGAATTGAACATGCGTTAGTGGCAACAATTTTAGGAAGAAAAGCTGGATTTCGTTTCCTATTATATGTGTGAGATTTGGTTATTTTTACTTCAACAAGTGTTGATTGCCTGTTAGTAAAATTGTGCCTCGCCGTCTTTTGTGTTGTTATCCTAACAGGTATTGACCTTCGTTTATTTTTGCCTGCACAACAACCTCTAGGTTTGGTACGAGTGATATTTAATTCATTAGCAATTAAGAAAAACTCTTTACCTGGTTTTGGATAACAGCTACTTTTATTCACAAACGGTACCTGTTTCGAAAAGCACATTATTTCACTGATCACTGCAGCACGGAAGCACCGTCGAATTAAGAGGTAGTGACGCTAAAAATATTCTCGCACAGCATAAGAATTCCGTATGCAAATAAGTTATTGGCGGAGCTCAGCCTCTCGTTATGGCGAAAGAATTCGTTTTCCTATAGGCAGATCGGGGCTAGCTAACGGACTTCAAACAAATAGATAAAACAAATCGATCGAAAGTACCAAAATTCAAAATACAACAACAAACACCGTCGTAACAGCGACTAATTAGACTTTAGCAGTAAAAATGAAACAAACACACTCAATAAAAAGGAGAAATTGAGAAACAAAGTTTTCTCTTTAGCTGCCTTTTCTTAACAAAGCGCCTGTATACTGGTTCGCAATAAATCGAATAAAGATAAATCGAATAAGTCGCAATAAATTGAATAAAGAAATAAAATTTTAAAAATTCAGTAGTAGGGCACATAGACAAATTTGTTAGATTATCACTCCCGCCCACATAAAAAATATGGGAAATATAGATGCGGGAATAAAAAAAAAATTTTTTTTTGCCGCATCATTTATTCCAACAGCATAAAGAATAGAATGCAATTTTGTGACTAGAAATACATTTTCTTTAAAAAACAATAAAATTAAACCAGCTTTAATACAATATTTACAATATTCTTGTCAATAAATCAGTCCCTCCCTCATCGACTCCGTTAAAGAGCGCTATATAAATGCTTGAATATTATTATTATTATTACTATTATTTATCAACAAAAAAAAAAAATACAATACTCTGTTCTACCGATTGAAACCAAAAAATCACTTAAAAAAAAAACAAAAAAAAACAGAGTGCTAAATCTAATAAATCTATCTGCCAAATATAATATAAACAACCTTTTAATATTCTAACAGCAAATGAAAAAAGTGTTCTTGAATCTTGAACAGTCTTACCAGGGAGGTGTAAAAATAATATAATATAAAATAATATTTTTACATCTCCCTGATCTTACTCTGCTCACGCAGGCTGACCATGCCTCAGCCTTAGGGGATATGACCGGTTGAGCCGCCGACAAGTTGAGCCGCCGGTCATTTCTATGGAACGCCAAGCGCGTCTCTCAGTGAATGTAGTGCGTCTCTCAGTGAATGTAGTCGGCTTGCCGATGTCATCAGTGAATGAACCCCCCAGATACCAGCTACATATTCATCCCAGTCTTGTCAGTCTTTGATTTGCGCGTATTGCCTTCGTGATGTATAACTGTGTAATTGAAAATTAGAATTTTGATATTTTTATGTACTACATTTTTATAAAAATATATGAAGTTGTATAATTGCAAAATTGTATTAAAAATGTGTTTATTTACGTTTGGTTTGTGGATATTTCAATTAACTTATTCATTATTTGTACTGTTTTGTTAAATTATTTAATTAAATTATTTATTATATATAAGTTTAACAAATAGTACAAAAATAAAAAGTATATAAATTACAAAACCATAGTAAATACTGTATAATAACATA